TTTTCCAAGACACACTAAAAAAGAACTAAGTTATTAAACAAACAACGTAAATAAGCGTCCTAAATAAGATTATTACGTTATAAATATAAAAAAACGTCCTATAACTAAACCATTAATAAAATCGATGAGAAAGGTCAATAATTTGGTTATCTGGTCACTATATTGTGGAATACATGTTGATATTACAACAGACGGCCTCTTTTTAATAGAGGCGGTGGCGGCGTTACAATAAGAAAATAAGAAATTGTCTCGAAGCTAGCTACGACTTATCTCTCTAAAATATAGTGCAGTCACAATCTAAAAATATTTAATTTGTTCCTATAAGTAATATACTTGTTTCTTCATCTTGTAAACGGATAACAATGAATGCAGTGTTACTTGAGGTCAGAAACAGGTAAGAACACCTAGAGAGTAAATTAATCCAATAATCTCTAAAATATGAAAACAAAAAGTGTATTAATACCAAATCTATCAGTACAAATATTGAAATTATTTCTTAAAACTAATTTTGAATGCACTCTGAAACCAGCTACTCGTATTTCATCGTATTGTTTTAGAAGTATTTTAAATATTTTTTTTTGCTACCATCCACTTCCTTAAATAGTTAATTTTTATTAGCACTTAATATTATATTATAATATTACAAGCTTGAAAGTTACTCTTTCACGCAAAAATAACTAAATGGATTTTAATTAAACTTTACAATTATACATCTCATACATCAGAATTACCCATAAGCTTATAATTCATAGAGATTATGTGTAAATTGGTCAAAATATAACGATAAAAGTATATATATATATATATTTTATATATTATATATATATATATATATATATATATATATATATATATATATATATTATATTTTTTATTACCATTTATATCTTATGTATTTTATTTCGATGTGCTACAATTTTTTTTTGTTATTTTAGTTTAGTATTAACATATTACCTTTTTATTACTCCTACTTCATTATATCTCTGCATCATCCCAAGGTAGACTGGTAGAGAATGCCTTAGGCATTAAGTCCGCCTATATACCACATGTGTATATGAAGTTTTAAATAAATAAATAAATAAATGTTAAGCAATAAAATGCAGATGACAAAGTGTAAAGAACCGGAGACCCTTTTTAATGGATATGAGAATTTCCATCTTAGTCTCCTGGGGTACGATATCACCCTCTCTGCATTTTGCTTTTTAATCAGTAAGATAGATGGAGATGTCTATGGGCCGCAGTATCCACTAACCATTAGGTGGACAGTGTGCAACGAGCATGCGGTCCACGTGATGGTTATATGTCATCCTTATCCTTTAAAAAGAATTTTCTTTTGCAAAACTAAATGTATGAAGATCATTCAATCAATCAAATCGAGAAAGAGAGAAAAAAGATCGAGATACATAAGGATAACAATACTAATTAAAGAACAAAGAGCAGTTACTATTTGTATGTAAGGGAAAGCTCAAATTAAGTCCATATTTTTTGAACAATTTTTTCTTGCTGGTTCTTCCCAGGACAGACGTATTTTCCGAACCAGTGGTAAATAAAATAATGACTTTCAATAAGTATTATGTAATAATCCATATTGAATAAAAATCATTCTATTCTATTCTTCTGATCCTAATGATTTAAATCTTAAAAAATAAAAATAAAAATTAGGCGGGCTACAAGTCAATTACAATCTAAAATGTGATATAATTCTAAAATAAATAAAAACTAATTATAGTTTTATATATTTAATGTACAACGCAAGGTATGTTGTTTATTTAAGAATAATTTAACACAATTTTTTGTAATGGTTGTTAATTTTTAATTGTTATAAAGTTATATAATTTTTATTTGTAAATAAAATTATTAAAGAGATTTTTTTTTCTAAATATATATCTTCAACATTTCGAATTCCTTCCACTTTTGGTCATAGCAGATGTTCAGACGTCCTAATGACGTATCCACACCATCTGTGTAGATAAAAATAAAATTAAACAGTGTAGTGGCGGTGTAAGAATATCCACTACCATATATCATCGGGTGGGTGTCGTAAGAGGCTATAAAAGGAAGCTCAACCAGGACATGAGCTAAAGCATCTTCCTGATAACACCTAAATAAAAATAACCGCTTGCCAAGCGTAGCAACTATGGCATATGCAGCAATTTGATAGATTGTAATGCTGATATCTTGTGACTTCCGATTGCATCCAATATAATCATCTACTTTCTTAATGGATATAAAATATGTAGATTAGCGATGGAGTAGCGCCAAAGAGGAGAGACTGCAATCACCAATCCACCTTTCAGCCTTACTATCTGAGGGAGGGGGGGGTTTAGAAGTAACATAGTAAAAGGACTTCCATCACCTTCATTTAAAAATAGTGCTGATTATTTGTATGGTTCATTATTTAAAATTATAACTTGTGAATTTAATAGAATATTTACTTTTAAAACTTTCTCTATAAACAGTTGTAAAACATTTAATGAATGGGTGACAGTGGGAATTTATAAATGTAGACGGAAGTTATGCTAGCTTTATAATGAAAGATCATATAATCGTAGTGTTATATTTAGAGAGTATGGAAATACATATTCTAAAATTTTTAAAAAAGTAATGCTCCACAGCTAAGGCTTATACATTTAAACAACAAAATTAAAACTGCAATCGATAAAATTAAAATGACATGGAGTATAATTAATAGTGAAACGGGCAAGATCAAACCACGGAACTCGGATTTTCAATTGAATATTAACAATAATTTAACTCAATCTGATCAAGAAATTGCTATGGCTTTTGAGAAACATTTTACTGATGTTCCTTTTCTGACAACAAAATCATTAAATTCTTCTCCTACTGTCGCCGAATCATTGCTTTAACAAAACGTAAAACCTAGTTAAAATATTTTTAAATTCCATAGAGTATCGCCAAAAGATATCGTTAAATATTTTAAAACTATTGATGTTATGGAAACGGCAGACTTATGGGAGATTTCCTTTAAAGTTATTGCATCTATAATAGATAATATAGCACCTTATCTAGCCACAATTTTTAATACTGAAGAATCTGGTGTGTTTCCTGATCTGATGAAAGATAGTAAAGTCATACCTTTATTTAAATCTGGTAGTAAATTAGACCCCACCAAGTTTAGACTAATTTCTATACTACCAACATTTAGTAAAATTTTTGAAAAAATTATTTAAAATCAGATGATAAATAAATTGCTGCATAAAAATTAATTTGGATTTACAAGGGGTCGCTCGACTACCGACGCCGGAGTCAAACTTATAAAACATATTTTTTGTGCATGGGAGAATTCGAAGGATGCTTTGGGTGTATTTTGTGACCTTTTCAAGGCCTTCGACTGTGTTCACCATGACACATTAATCAGGAAGCTACAGTACTATGGTGTAAATAACACAGCGCTTAAACTTATTATTTCATATTTAAGTAATAGAAAGCAGAAAGTTATTATCAGTGGTAAAAGTTCTTCCGGGTTGTCCGTAAGGATAAGTGTCCCTCAGGGCTCGATTCTTGGCCCTTTCCTATTTTTAGTGTATATTAATGACTTACTTTCCCTAGTAGGGGATATTCATGATATAGTATTATTTGCTGATTATACTCCTTTGATTTTAAAACTTAAACGTCTATCATTTAAATGTGACGAAGTGAATAATGCTATATGAAAATTGGTGCATTGGTTTAACGTTAATAATCTGCATTTAAACGAATGTTTAAAATCTGAATACCAATATGTTTTTAATTGGGGATGAACTCAGCCCTGTTGAATCTTCTGTTTTTCGTGGCATCACTCTCGACGCAAAGCTTCAGTGGGGCCCCCATATATCCAAACTAGCAAGCAGACTAAGCTCTGCAGCTTATGCTGTAAAAAAGATTAGAGATCTTACTAGTGTCGAGACAGCTAGATTAGTTTATTTCAGTTATTTTTATAGCATATTTTTGTTTTTCAGAAGAGCTATATACAACCTTAAACCGAGAGAGTCTTAGAGAAAAATTAAAGAAATAAATATATTAACTTTGACCTCTCAGTATATCTATGAAAACTTAATGTATGTTCACGAAAACAAAGATAGTTTTAGTAAAAAAAGTGATATACGCTCTGTAAACACTAGAAACAAACACAAGCTAGTGATATCGGTCTCTCGACTCCACAGAGTCAGTAATTCATTCTTGGGGCAATGTATATGTTAACAGTTAGAATAGAAATTGCGCTGATTGAACTCCGTTTTTGTAGTAATCGCGACACTTCTACTTGAAATAAAAATAAAAAGAATTTGATTTGGAATTGCTACTTAATTTACCTACAGTGAGAGAAAATTAGTCTGGCCCACCAGGAAGGGTAAATGAAATAGGTAAACTCACGGTTAGCGGCAGCGGCGATCAACTTCAACTTGGCTTCAACAATATCTTCGGATGTGGAAGGCTTCAGTCTTCCTTGACCACACTCCTACGTGATTATATAGTCTATGCACACAGCTGGGTCGACCCGGCACACTCACTAACTCTTAAGTACATTGATTTTATTTTGGAAGGTTTAGACAAGAACAGCCATTACCGATGCAGTTCGTCTTGAGTCTTGATTACATGTGTGTATCGATCGCGTCGACTTCTCTTGCAGACGCTTTTGTTGTAGGCCAACAGATGGCGCCATAAGTTTTGTTTTGCATATAATTGGAAGGAAGGATGTGATAGAAAAGTAAGGAAGGCAAGCCAGTACATAATTCCCCCCACTTGAAATCGTTTCAGATTTCATGAGTAATAATAGCAGTTCTCCCTATAAAACTAAATACTTCACGAACTAGAAACTAACTTAGAATAATATCTACCTAACTATAATATTAATACTTGAATTTGAGTTGCATACCTATTAGAAAGGTATGTAAGGCAACAAAATTTAATATCTAACTATACCTGTAAGCTAAATAACAAAAAACTATAATATTAATTATGAGAAAAAAAATTGACATTTTTTTTATAAGTATAGCTATATATTATTGATTTAAAGGTAGAGGACACAGTTTATTTACTGGTCTCTTAAGGAGTCCATTAGTAGTGCGTAGGGTGACCACGCGCACTACACCGTCTTTGCCGGGATGCACGTCTTGAACTCTACCTGAACGCCACTCTAGTGGTGGTAAATTGCTATCGACAATTAGTACAATATCTCCGACATGAATATTTGGTTGTTCTCGAAACCATTTCGCGCGTTGCTGCAAGGTATGGAGATAATCGCGTTGCCAAATATGCCAAAAAGACTGTGTAAGTTTTTGCAACATCTGCCAGCGGGCCCGAGGTGGAACATATTCATTAGAAAGTTCAGGTTCTGGTAACGATATAAGAGAACCATGGACCAAAAAATGACCAGGTGTAAGAATATCGACCTCATTAGGATCCGGAGATAGACAGCACAACGGTCGCGAGTTAAGTATGGCTTCGACTTTAGTAAGAATTGTTATGAGCTCCTCGAATGTCAATACTTGTAACCCTATAACGCGTTTTAAGTGAAACTTCATTGATTTTACACCGCTCTCAAATATGCCACCAAAATTACTCCCGGTAGGAGGGTTCAGTCGCCAGATAATGTTTCGTTTCGCAAGACTAGACTCAAGTGAATCCTTATTCTTAGAAATCATTTGCTGTAGTTCGTTAAGGTAACGGCGGGCACCAATAAAGTTAGTGCCGCAGTCGGTGACTATGAAGGTACAAAGGCCACGACGTGATACGAAGCGATCTAACGCTGCAAGAAAAGCAGAAGTCGATAGCTCGGTTACTGCCTCAAGATGGATAGCCTTTACCGCAAGGCAAACGAATACACACACGTAGGCCTTGTAAGTACGAGCGTTTCGTCTACGACTTTCCTTCACCATGAATGGACCGGCAAAGTCGATTCCCACATTTTGGAAACACCGCGTCGGTTGTACTCTTGGTGAAGGAAGATTTCCCATTAAAGACTGACAAACAACCGGTTTCACCTTAAAACATGCTATGCATTTAGATAAACGCGACCGAATTAAGTTACGGATGCCAAGTATCCAATATCTACGCTGAATAATCGATTGAAGAGTACGAGGACCACAGTGTAAGTAATTGACATGAAAGTGATCTATGATCAACAAGGATAAGCGTGAAGCCTTTGGCAACAATACGGGATGTTTTACAGTTGCCGGTAGATTAGCGTGCTTTAGACGGCCCCCCACTCGCAGCAATCCCGCATCATCAATAAATGGACTCAGTTTTTTAACGGATTTGGTGGCTTTGACTTCTTTTTTTTTTTTTTTTATAGGAGAGGGGGCAAACGAGCATGCGGCTCACCTGATGGTAAGTGACTACCGCCGCCCATGAACAACCGCAACACCAGGGGAATTGCAGATGCGTTGCCGGCCTTTTAAAAAGGAGTAGGCTCTTTTCTTGAAGGTCCCTAAGTCGTATCGGTCCGGAAAAATCCCTGGTGGTAAACTATTCCACAAGGAAGTTGTGCGAGGAAGAAAACATCTTCTAAATCGCACAGTGGTGGACCGCCAATCATCCAGATGGTGTGGATGGTATCGGGAGTTCTGCCGCGATGTGCGTTCGTGAAATTTGGCGGCTGGGATTAATCCGAACGATTCCTCAGAGCACTCCCCATGGTAGATGCGAAAGAAAATGCAAAGAGATGCAACATCTCTTCGCAGTGCCAATGAATCTAGCCGATCGGAAAGGGCTCGGTCGTCGACGATTCGAGCCGCTCTGCGCTGGATGCGGTCAAGTGGAAGGAGCTGGCACTGGGGAGCCCCTGCCCAGAGATGGGAACAGTATTCCATGTGAGGCCGAACCTGCGCCTTGTAAAGTTGCAGGCGGTGTGCCGGCATGAAATACTGTCCCGCTCTGCTGAGCACGCCAAGCTTTTTAGAGGCCAATTTGGCCTTCTCTTCCAAGTGACCACGAAACTGCACGTCACTCGATATGTCGACTCCGAGGATACCGATACTGGCTGAGGCAAGAAGGGGAGTGCCTTGAAACTGAGGAGATACGACAAAGGGGTTCTTTTTAGCGGTAAACGCGCAAACTTGTGTCTTCTGAGGATTAAACTGGACTAGATTTAGTCGCCCCCAATCCGAGACTTTGTCCAGCAAAGACTCGACTTCAGACACAAGTTTGTTCCGGTACTCGGCGACGTTTTCCCGAGAAATATTGGCCCGGCCGGTGTATAGAGCATCACCAGTGCTGTCATCCGCATAGCAATGAATGTTACCAGTTAGCAACATATCATTGATATGCAGAAGAAACAGCGTTGGTGATAGCACACAGCCTTGTGGAACACCAGCGTTAATAGGCTTGTAGTCAGAACATGCACCGTCTACAACGACCTTGATGCTCCGATCTGCAAGAAAGCTGGTGATCCAATTGCACAATTTCTCGGGAAGCCCATAGGAAGGCAACTTCGAAAGAAGCGCTTTGTGCCAAACCCGATCAAAGGCCTTCGCAATGTCCAGACTAACGGCCAACGCCTCCCCTTGGACTCTACTGCCTCCGCCCATCTATGGGTCAGGTAGACCAGAAGATCACCAGCTGATCGACACCGACGAAAACCGTATTGGCGGTCACTAATCAGCTGGTGATCCTCAAGGTACCGGATGAGCTGGCAGTTAATAATGGATTCCATTATTTTGGAGAACAAGGAGGTGATCGCGATAGGCCTATAGTTGGACGGGTCTGAGCGGTCGCCTTTTTTAGGGATCGGGTGGACAAAAGCTGTCTTCCATGAATTCGGGACTACGCCTTGGGAGTAAGAGTACCGGAAAAGACGCGTTAGGACCGGTGCCAACTCCGGAGCACACGTCCTCAGCACAATTGGGGGGATTCCGTCAGGCCCACTCGACTTCTGGATGTCCAGGGAGAGAAGTGCTTTGCGAACTGAGCGCTGTGAGAATAGCACATCCGGCATGGAGCACTCACACCGCGGGATGGTCGGCGGTATTTTCCCCCCGTCATCAAGAGTCGAGTTGGACGCAAAAAGGGAGCCTAAAAGGTCGGCTTTGTCTTTTGCGTCTTGGGCCAGTGAGTCGTCCTCCCTGTGCAGAGATGGTAGTGATGGCTTACAGAAATTCCCTTGGACAGCCTTGGCGAGAGACCAGAATGCACGGGTTCCCGAAGGAAGGCGAACTAGTTTCTCGCCAATTCTGCCTATGTGCTCTGACTTTGCCTTGGCAATAACTCTTTTGAAGGACCTGGAGGCGAAGTTATACTTCTTTTTAAGTGTGCTGGTGTTTACATCCCGAGTCACCGAAGCCGCAGCCCAGGCTTGATAACACTCCTGCTTACTGCGTAATGCAGTCTTACAGGAGCGACCAAACCAAGGCTGAGATCTGCCTCCGATGGGTACCACAGATGATGGAATAAATAGTTCCATTCCCTGTAGCACCACATCAGTGACAGAGTCAGCAACAGCACTGGGATCATCCGGCGAGAAGCAAACCCGCCCCCATGGGTAGGATGCAAAGAAAGACCGCATTCCGTCCCAATCCGCCGACCTGTAATGCCAAACACGGCGGCAACCTGCAGAACGCAACCGCGAAGGGAGCGTGAGTGGCACCATACTCCGGATCAGACAATGGTCCGAAGAGCCGAGAGGGGCATCGACGGAAACCTGATATCCGTCCGGATGAGAGGTCAGCAGAAGGTCCAACAGGGAAGGTGTATGATCCTCCACATCTGGAATCCGCGTAGGCGAAGTAACCAGTTGTGTCAGACCATATGCCAAGGCAAAGTCATAAACAGATCTCCCCGCATGATCGGTTAAACGTGAACCGAGCCATTCGGCATGGTGGGCGTTAAAATCGCCAAGGATCACGATCTCTGCGGATGGGACCTGTTGTAGCAAGGAATCTGTAGCCATTTGGACGTGGTCGATGAGTCGGTCTGTTTCGGCATTACCGCTATGGGACCTATAGAGGCACCCGTAGACGCGCGGATGGTCGTCGCTGTCTACGCGTAGCCAAAGGATGGACAGGTCCGAACCTTCAAGACTGCCGAGGCGTCGAGAACAGATGTCCTCTCTAACATACACGCAAACTCCAGCCCGAGGCACAAAGGAGTGCTCCAATTTGTACCCCGGGTAGGAGAGATACGAAATATCAGTCGGAGAGGAAACCTGCGTCTCGGTCAAAAAGAGCAAGGCCGGCTTCGCCGTCTCGAGATGGTAGTGGACGGCGTTTAGGTTAGAGTGAAGTCCCCTGATGTTGCAGAAATTCACGGATAGCGTGGCAGGGGTCGCCTTGGTATTGTTGCTCAGCTTGCCCCGAGCAGTTAGCGGAATTTTGCCCCCCCCCCCATCTGTAAGATGAAGTTTTTGTTCATGTCGAACCATATAGACGATAGACTGCTCCAGCTCTGATACGCTCAGGAAATTCTTAGTTTTAGAGTTTCGTTTGACTGCTGCTATAGCACGCAGACACCAAGCTAGCACACGCTGGACGCGGGATAGCGTGGAGTAACGGTCTAACAGTCCACTAATAAAGTCCAACTCAGCAGAGCTAGTATCCGTTTGAGATACATGAGCAGTAGAGCGCAACTCGGGTACGGAATCTTGTGATTCCCACTTGCACTTTACTGGCCAAGTGGAGGAATCGTTAGCGAGCCAATTTGGACCTGACCACCACGTACAACATGTCGCTAGCTGTGAACCGCTAAGACCTCGACTGCAATGATCGGCAGGATTATCATATGTTGATACGTGTTGCCAGCTATCAACTGATACATCGTCGATGATTTTCGCAACGCGATGGGAAACAAAAGTCTTCAGTTTATGAGGTTCCGTATGCAACCATGCTAGAACCGTGTTACTATCAGTAAAGGCAATCACTTTACTGAGAGGGACTTTATCTCGCAGCAAATTTTGCATGTGCTTAAGAACTCGCCCTAGAAGGACAGCACCGCAAAGCTCTAGACGGTTAACCGTTAGTGGTTTTAGGGGTGCAACTTTTGATTTTGCAATCAACAGATGCGTGTTAAAATGGTTGGCACGAACTGCCCTCAAGTATACACAACATCCATATGCCTTTGAAGAGCCATCACAAAACCCAATCAATTGGTAACTCTTGGCGTCATCATGTGTAACTCTACGAGTCAGTTTAATCTGTTTAACATGTTGCATTTCAGAGATAAAGTTGTGCCATTGGTGAGCGACCTCAGGTGGAACGGGTTTGTCCCAACTTAGCTGAAGGCGCCACATGTCTTGAAGCAATAGTTTAGCTATTAGAACAACAGGAGTGAGCCAACCAATTGGGTCATAGATGCGAGCGATATTTGATAATATTGCACGCTTTGTTAAATTGTAATTGAACCCGGACACTGAATATTTAAAGAAGTCTTCTACGGGGTCCCACTGTATACCAAGAATTTTAAGGATATGGTTGTGATTTTCGTCACAAAAGGCCCTAGGTACTTGACAATGTTCAGACGGTAGAGCTGCAATAAACTCGGCTGAATTACTACACCATTTACGCAGCTCAAATTGCGCACAGCCCAGTAGTTTAATAATTTCATCTTTGAGCTCAAGTGCCTGTTTAAGAGATGGCGCTCCGGTTGTTATGTCGTCCATAAAAGTATCATGACGTATAACGTGAGCCGCTTGAGGATACTCAGAAGCATGATCGACCGCTAATTGATGCAGAGTACGAATGGCTAAGTATGGTGAACTAGTCACACCGTATGTCACGGTATTTAATTCGAACTCACGCACGGGATCAGCTGGAGAGTTTCTCCACAACACGTGTTGCCACCCTCGATCTTCCTGACGTAAATCTATATTGCGATACATTTTCGAAATATCGGATGTGAACACTATTGCGTGAAGACGAAATTTTGTCAGCACATCAACAATGTCATTTTGAAGCTTAGGCCCAGTGTACACGATATCATTTAAAGATTTTCCGTTCGTCGTTCTGGCACTTGCATCAAAAACGACACGTAGTTTTGTCGTAGTACTCTCAGGGCGGAGTACACAATGATGCGGAATTACAAATTTGCCTGATCCAACGTCTGCGGGTTGCATATGGCCCAGATCTGAATATTCAGTCATAAAATCAGAATAGTCCTTTTTTAACTCTACATTGCGCTCAAGTCGCTTTTCGAGTTTGAATAAGCGTGATTTTGCCATCTCGAAAGATTTACCCAGATCATCACAAGGCTTCTTCAGTAACAAAGGAACGACGTAACGACCGTCAGGTTTACGTGACACAAGAGTAGAGTAGAGTTCTTCGCATTTAACATCTTCGGGGTTCGATATAAATGTTTTCGGTGGTTCTTCGACCTCCCAAAAACGCTTGACCACGTCATTCAAAAGCCGGGTGGAAGTAACGAGGGAAGAAACCATAGGTGGAGGGTGACAGCTGTGATCAATTTTGCCAGTGAGCACCCACCCAAAGACACTATGTAGAGCGACTGGTAAACCAGGACCTATCTCTAGGCGTTGGCCATCATAAATTTTATGGAATAGCTCTGCGCCCAGCAGCATGTCTATATTAGTGGGTTTGTCGAACTGTTTGTCTGCTAAAACTAGATGTTTAAAATTTTCACGAACCTCAGAAGGTACTTCTACAACAGGCATTTTACTTGTTATTGTATTCATTATTATGGCATTAATAGTGAAGTTTGGACTATCAGAATCCGTTGGCATTACCACGCATGAAGTTTCACCCTTTATTTGATGCACTACATTTTGTCCTAAACCTGCCACAGCTAAATTGCAGCGGCGAATGGGCAACCCTAAACGTTGAGCGAGTGATAACGTCATAAAACTATCCTGAGCTCCACTCTCAATAAGTGCGCGGGTGGTAGTATACTGAGCGGCAGCACCGCAACCACGCACGCGCACTACACATGTGCCGAGCAAAACGAGAGCACGACTATGACCAACGTGAGCGCTGGTAGTCACGGAGCTCGCAGTCGAGGTCAAGTCGTCAACCGTAACTACTGTTTTGTCGCTAGTCTTGTCAGTGGAGCAACACGGAACAGCAGCAATGGTAGTGTTATCGTGGAGCAACGAATGATGACGGACACCACAAGTTGAGCATGTAATTTTTGAAAAACATTTTTTTGTATTATGATTTAAACGTAAGCAATTCATGCAAACATTTTTATTAGACACTAAGCCGTATCTTTCAGAAATATCAAGTTCTTGAATCTTCGGACATTTGAAAAGCGCATGTGCCGCCCCGCAACATAGACAATCAGCTGTTTTATTTGAAGCATTTGAAGCTATGGCAGTGTTCGACGGCAACGATATAAATTTATGGTATTGTTTATTATTGTGACTATTTCGTGTCCCGGTGGCACGTACATTATTTTTATACAACTGTCCCGATTGAAATCCAGACCCGGAACAATTGCCCGATTGACTAACCTCTAGAACTTTAACATAACTTTGTAAAAAAATTAACAAATCAGAAAAGGTAGGAATTTGTTCCCCGTTTTGCATTTCAAAACGTTTACGTGTATCAGAATCTAAAACACGCGCAGCTAAATAAAATAAAATGAACTCATCTAATTTTTTAATTTTCATAGCTCTAAGAGCATTAACGGTTTCATTCAACACATTGGTTAAATTACGTAAATCGGCATAATTACTGGACTTCAAAGGAATGAAGCAACAAATTTTATCTAAGTACGTTGCGGCCAAAATTCGTTTGTTTTGGAACCGCTCGATAAGTGCGTCAAAAACAATTTGGTAGTTATCAGAGGTAACAGGCACTCCTTTTGCGATTGACAACGCTGAACCCGAGAGACAGGTCAACAAATAATGAAACTTTTCGATTGACCTTATATTATTGTTTTCATGTACAAGTGTGGAAAATGTATCGAAGAAAGTTTGCCAATGTTCAATGTTTCCATCAAATTTCGGCAGCTCGAGTTTCGGTAAGCGTGCTTGCGCGTATGGTTTCGTACTATGGTATGAAAATCCGGAAGTCAAACTCGGATCCGGGTCGCATTGCGGATCGGCTCGAGTGCGACCCTCGCTTAGAGCAGCCCTGGCGGCATCGACGGTGTAGTACATGTCGTCAAACGCAATCACGGACTTCATATCAACTATATCGTCCGGCTTTAATTTTAACTTTAAATCGTTTATTTGATTGGTATACTCCAAGAATTCTTTACACACTAACTCAATACGCTTAAACCTAGACTCGAATTGAGAGGCAGAAGTTGTATCCGTTTGGATATTCTTCGATAAATCACATAGTATTTTAATTTCTCAAAATGCATATTCCCTTTGAATAGTAAGCAACTTGAGTTGTCTCTCAATTTCACTAGCGTTCGACTTTGCCTTATCTGTCATTATGTTTGAAATTATAACCAATAAAACCGTAAATTTAAAAACAAACCTACTTTTTAACTAATCAATAATAACGCTATTAATAGGTATATATTATAACTACACCTATTGAAACAACGTATCAGTATTGAATATGTGGAGTATAATTATTCACCTACTACCTCCGTGTTTAAGTACAACGAACGGCACATAACGAGTAATTGTAATTTATGCAACCGACAGAGAATAATTCTCCCTAATTATAAAATTATATATCAAATAAATTTAATAAATTACTTCGTATTATCTATATCGTTAAAATTAAGGCAATTAAAGAAGTACCTTACCAAATTTTACTTGTAAAAGTTTTTTTTTTTAAGCTGAATTGCTATGAACTGTAATTTTGGAGTTTTCAAATGAATTGAACCCAAAATACCATAGGAAATTCGCGCTCGTACGGACCACTTTGTTAACAGTTAGAATAGAAATTGCGCTGATTGAACTCCGTTTTTGTAGTAATCGCGACACTTCTACTTGAAATAAAAATAAAAAGAATTTGATTTGGAATTGCTACTTAATTTACATACAGTGAGAGAAAATTAGTCTGGCCCACCAGGAAGGGTAAATGAAATAGGTAAACTCACGGTTAGCGGCAGTGGCGATCAACTTCAACTTGGCTTCAACAATATCTTCGGATGTGGAAGGCTTCAGTCTTCCTTGACCACACTCCTACGTGATTATATAGTCTATGCACACAGCTGGGTCGACCCGGCACACTCACTAACTCTTAAGTACATTGATTTTATTTTGGAAGGTTTAGACAAGAACAGCCATTACCGATGCAGTTCGTCTTGAGTCTTGATTACATGTGTGTATCGATCGCGTCGACTTCTCTTGCAGACGCTTTTGTTGTAGGCCAACAGATGGCGCCATAAGTTTTGTTTTGCATATAATTGGAAGGAAGGATGTGATAGAAAAGTAAGGAAGGCAAGCCAGTACAGTATACGTTATTACAACAAAGTCCCAGAAAATATACAAGGTATCTTTATTACTTTATTAATATTTAATTAAACAAAAGGTGGATAAAAAGGGTTATTATAATAGGGGAAAGTCGGGTAGCCCCGGACGGCGGGTAACCCCGGACATTTAAATTTCAAAGAAACTTAACACGTTGCGTAGGTAAAAGTTTATTTTAAATGTGCGCCCTCTGGAGTAAAAACAATTCCAACTCAATTGGCCGCCGAGCTATTTACCCGTGTGTGTTTTGTTCCCGCCAAAAAAACTTCGTCTCTCCTGTCAACATTCATTGAAGGTTACTAAGTACAATACGTAAGTGTGCATACTTGTCTATTATTTAATGTTGTAGCCAATTTTATACATTTGAAGTTTGTAACAGGATTTTTAACATTTATTTTACTATTTAAGAGCTGTGTTTAACAATGTTGCATGATAACGATCGGGTACCCCCGGACACGATGATGTCGGGTATCTCCGGACAGTGGTTTAAGTTTTGAATTTCGCATACTGTGTCAACAAAGTACAATTGTTTTGTCAGTTTGCTTTTTTATGGAAAGTATTTTAAAATGTTGTTACTATTGTTGCTAAAAGAGCTAAAATATGCCGAAATTTATAGGAAGAATTAGTGATAGAGGAAACTGGGACGAAAATAAAATGAAAGAAGCTGTTAAAAATGTGATGGAAGGCAAGTTATCTGTAAGACAAGCGGCAGACAGGTATGATGTACCTATACCAAGAATATCACTTTATGATCGCCTGAAAGTTTTGAAAAAAGGCAAAGAGGTTGCTTTTTACCCGAAGTTGGGGCGATTTGAATCCACATTTTCTGAAAAAAAATTTATGCTACTATACGAGCACGTTAAAGAACTGGACAATCGTCTTATGCCATTGGGTGGGTAGGAGTTTTTAAAATTAGCGTTTGACTTAGCAGGAAACCCTCATAGATTTAATAAAGAGAAGGGAGTCGCAGGAAAAGACTGTTATTACAGTTTTAGAAAAAATATCCAAATATTGTTTTAAGAACTCCCGAATCGATTAGCATTGCGCTGGCTATTTGGTTTAACAAACTACAAGTAAGCCGTTTCTTTGGCCAGCTTAATCACCTTCAAGAGAAATATAAATTCCCCCCTTCTCGAATTTACAACGCCAATGAAACAGGGGTATCAAATATGCATAAAAATGATAAAGTCATTTCGATGAAAGGAAAAAACAAGTAGGTAAATTAACATCTGCAGAAAGAGGTCAGAACATCACATTAACTTTTGCGATGAATGTCACTGGTTATTTCATATCCCTCCTTATTATTTTTCCTCGGAACAAAATGGATACGAACGGTTGCTTGATGATAGGAGTTCCGCCAGATAGTATTGCTATTCCTCAAGAGAGCGAGGGATGAACGGTGAGGTGTTCTTCCAATGGTTGCAGCATTTTAAACAACATGTTTCACCGACAGAATCAAATCCTGTCCTCTTAATTTTGGATGGCCACGCTAGTCATAACCAGCTGGCAGTTATAAAATATGCACGTAATCATCACATTCATATGCTGAGCACAGCACCTCATACAACTCATAAATTGCAGCCGTTGGACAGGAAATTTTTTAAACGTTTTAAGTCTGCATTTGCAACTGCAAGTTCAGCATGGATGAGGCGAAATCCTGCAGATAGAATCACTGACTATGATATTGCTGCACTTGTGGACGAAGCCTTTAGCAGATCAGCAAGGTTGGATATAGCACAAAACGGATTCAAATGCACAGGAATTTATCCATTCAACCCTGAATCTTTACTGATATTGATTTTTTATCATCAATTATGACAGATGTCATGCAAGAAGTTTCTTCCAAGAAAATATGTTCAATCGGTTCTCAGCAGCACATTTTTTATCGCCAGTACCATCCACTAGTCATATATTATCTGCAAATGAACCGGAGCCTTCAACCAGCTCAATAGATTTATCGAAACAGCTGTCACCATTTCCTGATGCATCAAAAAAACGGTCGTTAACGCGGGCTCGAAAAACTCAAAGGAGCGAGATCATAACATCATCACTTTACAAAAAAGATGTAGAGAAAAGACAGAAAAGTAGAGACAATAATAAAGTTAAAGCGAAACAACAAAAAAGTAAAGGCACTAAAAAGATATTGAAAACAACAAAAAATATTCAAAGTCTTTCCAAAGGAAATCGAGAAGAAGAGACTGAATGCATCATATGTGGAGAAACATTTGAAGAGGCCTGGATTCAGTACCAGGAATTCAAAACTGGGCTCATGAAGACTGTGTCTACATAGATTCTTCGGATATTTATTTTAATTGTGATGTTTCTAAGGCCAAAAAACGTTTAGGCCAGTATTGATTACTATGTCCTATAAATAAGACCAAAGTATTTTCAATAATATATTTCTTTAAAAAAATTGATATGATTATTAATTTTAATTACTATGATTAAAGAAGTTCCTAACTTTACTTTAAGTGTAAAATAAAGACAGAATCTGTTTTTATTGATATTTTTCTTTCCAATTAATTTTAGTGTCTGGGGCTACCAGAACTTCCCCTATAAATGAATACATGTTTGATAATAACCCCTGGGAATGAGGTGGTCGCTCTCAAGCTAATTCTGAAATAAGCTTTGTAAATAGTTTGTAATTACTTGTATTTTAAAATTTATTAAAAAAGTCCCGCTGGGTTTCTTGCTGGTTATTCCCAGGACAGAGGATTTTTTTCGAACCAGTGGTAAAAAAGTGGTAAAATAAAAAATGAATTTCAATAAGAATTACTTGTAATCAATATTGAATAAAACATTATTCTACTCTATTTTATTCTAATAATGAGGAAATAAAGTATTAAAAAAGAAAAAGAGAGACAATTTATTTTGTCTCTCTCTTTTTAGAAGAGGCAATAAAAATATTCCTTAAATATTATTTATTACAATTTTTTTTCATGTAACATCGAATTTATAAACATTATTTAATGTAAGCAACACCGGCTTCTTTGTACAACTCATTCCAAAACCTCATACGATCCTTATCTGCAAATTTTGCCATCGCCATTTTCTCTTCTAGTTTCAAGTACTCCTTTCCAGTTGCAGTGTACGGGAGCCATTAAACTTCCGTGCAATAATTTGGTGTGGGGTTACTGTGAATAAAAGTCTTATAAATAGGAAAATATATTAAATCTCAACGTAATTAAATTAAATTTAGGCACTACACCATCAATCGTCCAACTTCAAATGCTCGCCTGACTGTAACCTTCGCGAGCTCGTTCCGAATATATACCGTGCTTCTAAAGACATGACATTAAAACAAAACTAGGGAAAACGTAGACGATGGAAGTTAATTAGATATCGATTATAATATAGTCTAAAATTATTTACTTTCGCATATTCCCATTTTCATTTTGATAAAACAATAAATAAATCAATTACGTCTCAACTAAAAGAGACATCTTTTCAAAATTTAGATTACCAAATTAATACTCATTTATCTCGACCACGTCCGAAATTTGATTTAAAAAAGTAGTTGAGTCGAAATTAATGGATGGCGACTTAAAAAATGCATCCCTTATTTTATTTTCAGACGACATCCTGGCTCCTCGTAATGTCGAAACTCTTGAAAGCCTTCGTCAGAAGCATCCTTCGGTCAAACCTTCTCACGGTTTACCGCTGCCTCCCAAGACTTCTATGCAACCTTTACAAATTTCTGAAAAAGACTCTTTAGAAGCAATTATGTCATTTTCGAATGGCTCTGCTGGTAGCATTGACGGAATTACGCCTCAACATCTTAAAATCTTGTAAGCGCTTCTGCCGGTGACGCCGGCGGAGTACTTCTAAAATACATTACAAAATTATGTAACTTTATGCTTTCTGGTAATGAATTCCATTCTTATATGGGGCAAGATTATGTGCCTTCAAAAAAAAGGATAACGGTATTGCTGTTGCTTCCACATTTCGACGCTTAACTTCAAAATTAGCTTGCAGGCACATAATCTCTAACCTTAAGACCAAATTTCAGCCTACTCAACTAGGCTTTCGCACTAGAGGTGGCTGTGAGGCGGCGGTACATTCAGTGCGTACATTTTTAACAAACTCTCATGAAGATGTTCTTGTGAAGGTTGACCTAAGGAATGCTTTTAACTCTATCAATAGGGTAACCTTGCTGAAAGAAGTGGCTAACATTACCCCCGAAATTTATCATTACATTTGGCAATGGTATAGTCAAAGTACTAACTTGTTTTGCGAAAACCATTTTATCGATTCTGCTGTCGGTGTTCAGCAGGGTGACCCACTGGGTCCAGCACTTTTCAGTTTGGAAATTCAACCCATATTTCAAATTTGAAATTCAAGCTGAATGTCTGGTATATAGACGACGGTACACTGGAAGGTAGAGCAGATGACGTCCTCAGTGGTCTTACTCATATTTTTGAAATTTTAAAAATATTGGTCTTGAACCAAATAGCAATAAATGTGACATATTTTTTTCCAATAATTTATCTACTTCTCATAGAGACACTTTAATTCAAAATTTCAATCATGTTTCTCCAGGAATAAAAACTGTCAGTACGGAATCACTATACCTGCTAGGTGCCCCGTTGTTTTTCGATAGTATTAAACCTGTTTTGAAAACAAAATTTGATCAGTTTTTAAACCACGCTGATAAATTGTATAAATTAAACCCCCACATAGCTCTTACTATTTTAAAATATTGTCTCCTTGTACCTATATTTACATACTTACTCCGCTCGAGTCCAGTCTGGAAATGTTCGGATATTTTAAAAGATATTGATAGTAATCTTAAAATAGCTATAGAAAAAAATCTAAATTTAATTTTAAATACAACAGCCTGGACTCAAGCTACTTTACCTATAAAATTTGGTGGCATTGGTGTGAGGAATCTTTCTAGCGTTGCATTGTCTGCTTTCCTTGCTCCGTGCATAGTGTCAGTGACTTATGTAACCTAATTTGAAATAATAAAGTAGACTTATGCTTTGCTACGGAGGCAGGGCAGACATGGCAAACGCTCTGTCCCGGTAAAAATGTTCCACTGGAAGTATTACCAACAAATACAGTGGGATATTCCGTTAGTACGGGGTGTGCAGAAAGATTTGTTTCATAATTTCCATAGTGACCAAGATAAAGCACGCCTTCTAGCTGTTTCGACTAAGGAATCTAGTCACTGGTTACACGCTTTACCATCAAGTAATGTGACGAGGTAAAGCTTGCGCATCGCCGTAGGAATCCGACTAGGAGCGGCGCTTTGTCAACCCCATCAGTGCCCCTGCGGTAGCAGCGTCAACAAGTTTGGGCTCCACGGACTTTCATGTAAGAAAAGCGCTGGTAGATTTTCACGACACAGTTCTTTGAATGATGTCATCCGAAGTGCTCTTGTCTCTATAAATGTTCCCTTGGTTGTAGAGCCTTGTGGAATATTTAGAGACGATGGCAAGAGACCCGACGCTATGACATTGGTCCCTTAGGAGAGAGGTAAAGCCCTAGTGTGGGATGCTACTTGCGAAGACACTCTGGCAGCCTCTCATCTCAGTGGTACCTCGTTTAGAGCTGGGGCGGCATCAGAGTTAGCTGAACTGGGTAAGTGGTGCAAATATGAGTATCTGAGAGATGACTTAATATTTATGACATTTGCTGTAGAGACTATCGGTCCGTGGGGTCCACGTGCGGTGAAGTGCCTAAAATAACTCCATTCGCGGCTGGTCGTTGCTGCTGGTGATAAGAGGGCTGGTTCTTTTCTCGCTCAAAGGCTAAATATAGCCATTCAGCGGGGAAACGCAGCCAGAGTTCTTGGCACGATACCGCGGAGAGTAGGACTATTCATAATTAGGTTACTAGTTTTAGTTTTTTTAATTATTATCTTAGTTTTTAATATTGTATATAATAATTAAACATTAATTTAAATAATATGTACGTATGTCTAATATGTATAAGTACGGCTTAATTGAGTTGGTGAAATCTCTCACATTAAATGTGATTTCGATTCACCACCATCCGTGTCAATCTCCAGGCCAATTGAACCAACCAAACGCCGTAACGCGCAAAAACGTCATAACCATCTCAAGTGTTGGAGGGTTAGGCGATACGTGTAGAACATGCAAAAAATTTAAGATACCTATACAATTATTGCAACAGTTTTTATGGAATAGAGGTGCCAAACGAGTACACTAAGCAAGGTAGTTATGTTCTTCTTAGGCCGTGGTAGTGGAAAGTGGATGATTAAAAATCAAAATGCAATTGTCACATCTGAAAAATATGACCTCATTAATGAAAAGTCATCGGAGAGTTATAAGTATATTCTTTTCTAAAAAGGGTATCTGGTTCACATCACTAACCAAAAAAAACAGCAATTTGCTATTAACTATCTAGTCTGAAATAGCAGTACGTTCTGAGCAACTTTCACAGTCAAGCCGACCTATTCGTATTGCAGTCATATTATAAAATGCTACAAAAAGAATGTAAACCTCCTGGACGATTGATTGATGATCCATAGTTTATCAAAATAGGTCCTAAGAAATATATATATTTATATTGTACACGCCCCTAGTCGCCTCTACAAAGGTCGACTATCCCGGGGCCCACCAGCGGAACACTCGACGAGCAACCAAGGGTGGAGCCCAAAATGGCCTATGGATAATTCTAAATTAATTGCGAATAAGCATGCACCACTTACCGAGTTTCGGAGGTAGGGTTGACCAGGGGGTACCAGTCAGGTGATAAGTGAGGTGTATGTTAGTAGTGTGTAGTAGTGTGGACATGTATGTGTGTGTTTATTTTTACATTTAACTAACTTCAAAGTCAACCAAATCAACGTTCATCGAAATTAACACAAGTGACATACGACACAAGTCAACTAAAAGATATTAAGATGCCACAAGCAACTCGTCGACCGTCGTGCGACAAATATTTTTCTAGACTTCTACTCGCCCCAGTGTACGCGCACAATTAATCTATATCCAACATGAAGCGATCTTCTCTCGGGTCACACATTCTTAGCGTTTCAAAACTCAAAGGGGCCTCTTGTCACTTAAAGCAAGAAAGACAATCAATAAGAGGCGTTTGTCACGCGGCCGAGCGCTTCGCACGTAACCGTCATACTTTAAGACTAGCCTCTTTATCACGAAAAACAAATTAAGGTAACGCCGTAGGAGGTACGCGACCGACCGTCGCGCAACGACGCTTTTTCATAGTAATCGGCAGCCGCGCCCTCGAATGGAATGCGAACGGGAGCGGGGGGGGCGACGGTGACCTTGGTAACATCAGATGCTCGGATGCGGATGTCGTGAA